GACCACACACGCCTTGAAGGGAGACGGCACGCAGAAGATAAAAAAAAAAAAGAAGTCTTATATTTTTTTTTGTCTAGCTGATCTCGCAACTGTAATCTGTGCCAATATTACCGTTTAGGGAGATTTGTTTTAATGTTTGAAATTATGACAATTTACAATTTTAAAAATGGTTAGACATGACTTAAGGCAAGGGAGGTAAATTCAAGGAAATGTATAAGTTATAAATCGCCTTTCTCTCAAAGAGAAATATAAATAGATGTTGATTGGCCAAATTAAACCAATGACAAGTTTTCTAAGATTCTAGGATTTAACTGATTTGCACCAATTTCATAATCTTTGTCTCTTTTCTTCATCAACGTTGAGTACGGGAAGTGCTCTTCAAAGGATTCAAAGCATGCCTGCTGCTATATGCTGTACGCTACGCCATCAAAGGAACAAAAAAAATGACAACGAACTCAAACTGCTGCATAAAGAACATTATCTCTGCAAACCAACAATGATAATTACTAATGATCTTGATACAGAAATTGTTGGCGCCCATTATCCGGACTTGGCTTCTAAATTAAGTCCCGTAATATATTCTTTTAATCCTTTCATCCCAAGCAAGGGTACGAAGCCACTAAGACACAAAGGGTTTACTGAGTTTGAAATAGTAACTTACCGGTTTAGCAGAGGAAGAGAAGCCGGTTGTGTCTGCCTCTATCGAACTCACGTCCTTCGGTATGCAGAAAACACGATTTCACTTAGGACTACTGGAATATCGGTTACCGCTAAGACACAGAAGTTAAGTAACACTAGGCCAGTAAGTACTGAAGAGGAAATCTTTCGGGGAAAGAATACGAGAAAATTATATTATGAAACAAACAAAACAAGCTTAAAACTTCACACTGATTTCTACTCATCGGTAATCCATGATGACATTTTTTTACGTTAATTCCCCGCAACATTTGTAAATTATGTTGTTAATATAAAAATTAGCAAAGAGAACATCTTGTGTTTGTTATCAATTCTTCACTGAAGACAAGGCGCAAAAGCCACTCAATGTGGAGATTCATTAAATGTGTTTTTGTGGTGCACGTGGTTTGATTCAGGAACCAAGAAGTTAAAAAAAAGCTGAGCGGGCTCTGAAGTAGATAAATACGCCAATGGCCAGTGGATGGGAGAGGTTCTAGCGTGGCAGATTGCTTTGTTGGAAGTCTTGAGTCGGATTTGAAATATATTCCCTGCATCAATCCTCAAAAGAAAGAAGGTACTAGAGTCATTGTTACCAACCAGAACACATAGTCTGAGAAAAAATTAAGGAATAAAGTCAATAAAAGGAGAGGATTCAAGCAGACAAGAGATGATTGCATTTAAATTTTTGAAGCAAGAATGGAAAGCAAGAAGCCGGAAGAGATTTCCACAGGAGATAAAGGTGAGAGAAAAAAACTGTTAGAATAGGACATCTAGCCATTTAGAGTGTAAAATTATGAGGCCTTCGCTGCCAATCTAATACTGCGCTTACATAGTCGATGTCCAAAAGAGGAAAGCTCATCAGAACAATTACCGTGAAAATATTTATAGAAAAGGCGCAGAAAATTTATGTTATGACGGTGGAAAAGTCGAGAAGACAGGTCAGGGACAATAACATTGCAGATTCTTCTTTTATCCATTTTTAAAACATTCTTCTTTTAAACTTTATTTTTATGGTACTGTTATGCCGGAATAGGATTTGCACTCAATTTCTCCTCAAGCCAACGAATTCAGGTGCAGGATTAACTCAAGATGTCCCCCACCCAGAGATGGAGATCAACGATTCATCCTTTGTCAGTGTTGACACCGAGAGTTGAACACCTGTGTGCAAGGCTGCACCTGATATGTGCACACGGGATAAAAACCGTTATATATATATATATATATATATATATATATATATATAAACAGCCGCTTCAGAGAGGTGTGGGACACTCTCGCAGACATCACAGATCGCGACTGTTAGGAATCTGTTCGGACAAGGAGCGATTGGGCTGCCTTACACTGACAAAGGATCATAATTTTAAATACGAAAGATTCAAATGCCGTGTTATCGTGAGTCCGCTTGTTTTCTCCTTAATCCGGGATACTCACTGCATTGCATTATCTTTCTAATATGTTGTATATAACTATAGTTATGGATTATTTTTTAATTGGTTTTGTTGCAGTTTTTTTGTGTATATATATATGTACTAGTGAGCTAGCCCAAATGACTTGACTCACTTTATAGTCCACCAATAGAAGGTTAACCAATCAGAAGACGTAAAATATTCAATCCGTCGTGTATAAAGGCGATCATTTTGTTTACTCTCTCCGAATGTCCAGTGCCAACTTGTCAGGCGAAAGAACAGAAGGAAGAACTACTGAACTACGCTCTGCTACTTTACCGGGATATCCAACGCTTCCCTACTGTCTTCGAAAGATTCACTGCTAACCTCTGGATTCTATACTCAAAGACGACCGTCATCATGAACAACAGGTTTCACTTCAAGCAAAGCAGTAAAGCCACTAAGACACAAGGGGTTATTGAGTGTGGAAGAATTAGGTTGAGAAAATGAGCGGGAAAAAAGAGTAATCAGGAGGACAGTAGATAGCGACTGACATTGTATTTAATTTTTTGTAGATTAAATTTGGCTGGAAAGCATGGAGCTGGAAGTGAGTTCTACAGGCGAGGAGGGTGAGAAAAGAAACTGTTAGAATAGAACTTACGGCTCCATCTAGCCAGCTCAACTGTAAATTGATGTGATCTTGACACCAGTCTAGTACTGCGCTTAAATTACAAAAGTTTAGGCATCATAGTGAAGAACTCATTCGAACAATTATCATTAAAGTATTTATAGAAAAGATACAGAGTGACAACCTTACAGTGTTGGGAAAGTAACTGAAGCCAAGATGCCAGGTCAGAACCAATAATATTGCTGATTCTTTGGATTTTATCAAGGAGATCCAGGTAAATAGCAGAGGCAATATTCTAAGCATGGATGATTGGTAGACATAGATATGTATGATAGATTCTGGAGGGAAAAATTGTCTTACTTGACACAGTGAACCAACTTTCTTAGCAGCTGATCTAGTAGTGGACTCAATATAGTCTTTGCACATAGTTATGGGATCCTCCCCTTTTTCATATAAGTGGACTCGACCAAAGTGTTACTTGGACTGCTGCCGTTAAATACCCAGAGTCAGTCAGAGAGAGAGAGATTGTGATTGAGTTGGAGGTAGAGTAATAGTGTGAGGTAACCGCTAGTAGAAGTCACAGTTACAAGCACGTAGACTCTAAGGAAGTCCTACTTCGAGACTGTATATATCTATATGTTATTGCTACTAACCGCGTTCCTGGATTTACTAACAGTATTACCCATTGTATTATTGTGTAAATACATTTTATTTCTTATCTTTAATTCTTGCGTTTGTCATTCATTGGAGACCGAATTTGATCTCGGAATCCACAACACACATTATGTCAGCTGAGAACGTTAGCACAAGAAGGCGCTACGTGTCATTTTTCTGGGGGTTAGCATCAGCCATGCTCACGGAAGGCAGAGAAGGATTTCTCAGATGATTGATGGAGAAATGCTGTTTGAATTGCTTTCTTTCTTGATATTCCCAACGGTTGAAATCTTATCTAATTTAACTTATAGTACAACTTTCAAACGAAGTATTAATAAAAATAATCAAAAAGGAAACAAGTCGATGGCGAAAGGTAGCTTTGAAGGCAAGAAATCTATGATGATCACTAACGGTTACAAGAGAAATCTGAGAACAGTGAGAAACAACTAACTCTTGTTTTTCTTTTCTCTCTAATTCAATCTTGTTTCACTCAGTTCTTCCACGTTTTCTTTTCCGGTGACTAAAACTGACAAGGAAGTGGTAAATGGAAACAGAGACCTTCACTGCTTATACGATTGGTCACAATTTAATCTAAGAATTGAAGGAATTGGGGTTTGTTTGTTTTTTTATTTAATTTAAATTTTTTTTATTGGAAAAATCATCAATGGTTAATTTTTTATTACATACAAATTAATTCTCCTGGAAAAAAAATCTAAAACTAGCAATGTATACATGGACTTTTCACCACTAAAAGTGATCGCAATAATTCTCAAGCGCAATTTGCAGTAAATGATGAACGTCGCGTCTCTGATAGAGAAACGAGATCAAAAGTGGATTTTGGATGTGGGTTGGACTGATTTGTAAAAAAAAAAAAAAAAAAAATTGAGAAATGGTGATCATCATTATAGACAAACCTGAATATCTAGACACTTGAAATGTTTGATGGTCGAATTTTCGCAAACTTTCCTTGTCGGGTAAATAGAATCCACCCGACAATTGCCACTTGCTACGAAGAAGTAGGCCAAGTTAAGAAACAACGGTACGATGGTAGGCGGTTGGGAAAATGAAGTATGGGAGGGGGGAGCAGTGGTTGGGGTCAATAGTTAGTGGTTTTCGTTTATATTCTTTAACACCACGAATAAAACGACTTGACTGATTTAACAGACGCTGATTCGTGCAATTTTCAAGTGTTTTATTAAACTTTAGGAGCTTGTTTTCCTATTCCCTCTCTTCTTTCGTCATTTGATTCTATTTTATCGTCTTCTTCCTTTGTTTATTTATTGTTCCTCTTCGCTTTTCTTTCTTTCATTCATTCTTCTTCCAGTTTTTTTTTCTTTTCTTTATTTCCTCATTCAATTTCCCTTCACTCTTTTCCCTTTGGTTTCTTTTAATTCTTCGTCTTTTTTTTTTTTATTTTCGTCTTCTTTCAATTTAGCAATTTCATTCAATTCCTCATTTTCATTGTTCCCCACCGTCTTCTCTCGAAACTTCTCACGTGAAATGCCTTCTTCTCCGATTTCCCACTTTAATTCTCTTTCATTTTAATTATTATTCTTACAATTAATATATTTAATTACATCTCTCTCTCTCTCTCTTCTTTTCATTGTTTCAAATATTTTCATTTTTTAACTTATTCTCTGTTTCTTCTCTTCATTCATTTGGTTTATCTGTCCCACTTCATTCTCTTACCTTTCTCATTCTTCTTTCTTCTCACTTTTTCTTTCAATTCTTATTCATTTAAATTTCTATCACTTCTTTCTCTATTTTTTCTCTTTCCTCCAATTCTCGTTTTTCCTTCGTTTTTTCTTTTATTTCTTCTCGTTTGAAAATACATTTTTTTTTTTTTACATTTTTCTACTTTTTAAGGCAAATCCTATTAAAGACAACAGAGATTATGCGACGATTAATTTTATTGATCGACTTTTCCAAATTACGAATAATCCTTCTCTGATAAGAAGGAAATTTCATCAGAAATTGTCCAAAGTTCTTCTCGGAAGAAATACGGTCCAACCTTTCGACTTTCTTAATCCAGCATCATCAGAATAGTTAAATAGTTAAAGACAAATGATATTTATTGTACACATAGAACAAATGTGGCACAAGGCCAAAAGGGGGATGGAGAAAGATGGTCTTCACTTGTCCTAACTTAAACCTAGCTAGTCTCATTCATTGACTCATGCGTACATATGATATTCCTTTCACCAAAACATTCACATTTATTCTTACTACAGTTTAACCCGGATATAAGAGAGTTGTCGGGACCGGAGAAGAAGTCTCTTATATCCGGGTTTCTCTTATATCCGGGTTTCTCTTATATCCGGGTTTGGTCTAATTTATATACATTAACACAGGCTCTAATTTGGGACCAGAGAAAATCTCTTATATCCGAGTTTCTCTTATATCCGGGTCTCTTATATCCGGGTTACATTGTAATTGCACCTATCATCAAAAAACCTCATTTACTCAATGAAATTCTTAATCTAATATTCCCTGATGTTAAGCATAAGTTTCCTTTTTGCTTCCAATCTCTCCAAAACCTCTTCGTTACTCACATGTTCGGCCCATGGTATCTTTAGCATCCTCCTGTAGAACCACATTTCTGTATATATATATATTGTAATATGGTTCACATATCGCTCGGTTAGAACACTTTCCCCGTCTCTTTTCTTATAGGAGCAGAATTTTATCCCTTGATTCTTGCCTAGGATTAGGTTCCCGGTTCCTTCTAAGAAAATATCAACTTCATTTTAGATCGCTTCTGACTCTAACCTTTATCTCTGGATTATATGCGAAACAAAATTGCTATAAATCATTATGGAAATATTTTGTTCCGCCATTGCATCATGATTAAAGGGAAAAACTGAAGATAATAGTTTTAAAAAAATTCTATGATGAAACAAAAAAATTCACATAACCGTCCGAAGTCTGGAGAACACATCAGTTAGTGAACAAAAGAAATAAAATTGACGATATTAATATGACAAAGATATGGAAGAAGGACAAATCAAAATTTCAGCCAGGCAATATCTTATTTTCCCCATTATGTGGGTATCAAGCTTCCCGGCCCCTAAAGCGCTTGAATAGTAGACTGCAAAAGACCTGTGGAATCAACTATTCGAAATTGCTAAAATGGACTATACTTTAGGCGTCTTCTGGCCCCGGTACAAGGGCGACACATTTCTTTTCCGTGAAAAATCTTGCCTGTGTAAATTATCAACTCTAGCGTCCGACAACATTCTTTTCTTCTTGGTCAGCCTGTAAGGGCAAAATGCTGAACCAGTGTATACTTAGATAAATATTTGATAAGTATATTTTGTTCCGTAATAGGCTAAGATTGTTTGTTCAGACGTGGCGTCACACTGTCTTTTACAACATGGCGTTATTATTGTTATTATCTACAGGTTCAGGTTTGCCTTGATGAGTTATGTCCCTTTTGTTTGTTTATTTTGTTTGTTTTTCCTTTTTTTTCTTACCCATTTGTTTATTTTTTTTCTTCCTTTTGGTGTCCATTTCATAGTCCAGCGTTATTTCTTGACCGAAACAAAATGTCAAATTCAACCCTACAATTGTTTCTACCTGCGTAATGTGGACGCAGAAAAAATTGGGAAAGGATTATTTTGTTGCTTTATTGCGTGTTGTAAGAAAATATCAACTTCGTTATTCATTTTCAGCTTTGATTAAAGATTGACCATCATTACGTCTCCCCTTTGTCTTTTGTTCTTTTACCAAATCTTTTTCTCTAATCTTTCTTTCCCGTTATTTTCCTTTCAGCCTCTTTTCCTTTTTTTTTTACTTCTGTCATCAATACTTTTCCTTCTCTTTCTTTTAAATATTTTTCGCTTTCTTTTCCTTTTCGTTCCTCTTTTTCATTTCTCACTCATCATTCCACCTTTTCCTTTTATCTTCATTCATCATATTTATTTCTCTTTCATCATTCCGACCTTACTTTTACTCTTCATTCCTCATTTTTCATTCCTCCCATTTTTTTCTCCCATGTTCCCCTCATCCTCCCTCCCTTTTTTTTTTTTTTCTTTTTTAGTTCCTCTTTGTCTTTTTTTTATTTCCCTCTCATCCTCATCCTCCCTTTTTTTTTTTCTTCGTCTCTCATTTTTTTTTTCCCTCTCATCCTCCCTCCCTTTCTTTTTTTCTCTTCCGTCTCTCTTTTTTATTTTCCTCTCATCCTCCCTCCCTTTTTTTTTTCTCTTCCGTCTCTCCTTTTTAGTTCCCTCTTATCCTCCCTCCCTTTCTTTTTTTTTCTCTTCCGTCTCTCTTTTTAGTTCCTCTCCTCCTCCCTCCTTTTTTTTTTCTCTTCCGTCTCTCTTTTTTAGTTCCTCTCATCCTCCCTCCCTTTCCTTTTTCTTCCGTCTCCTTTTTTTTTTCCTCTCATCCTCCCTCCCTTTCTTTCTTTTTCTCTTCCGGCTCTCCTTTTTAGTTCCTCTCATCCTCCCTCCCTTTTTTTTTTCTCTTCCGTCTCTCTTTTTTATTTCCTCTCATCCTCCCTCCTTTCTTTTTTTCTCTTCCGTCTCTCTTTTTTTATTCCCTCTCATCCTCCCTCCTTTCTTTTTTTTTTCTCTTCCGTCTCTCCTTTTATTTCCCTCTCCATCCTCCCTTTTTTTTCTTTCTTTTTATTTTCCTCTCATCTTCCCTCCCTTTCTTTTTTCTCTTCCGGCTCTCTTTTTATTTTCCTCTCATCCTCCCTCCTTTCTTTTCTCTTCCGTCTCTCCTTTTTTATTTCCCTCTCATCCTCCCTCCTTTCTTTTTCTTCCGTCTCTCTTTTTTTATTTCCTCTCATCCTCCTCCCTTTTTTCTCTTCCGTCTCTTTTTATTTTCCCTCTCATCCTCCCCTCCCTTTCTTTTTTTCTCTTCCGGCTCTCTTTTTTATTTCCCTCTCATCCTCCCTCCCTTTCTTTTTCTCTTCCGGCTCTCCTTTTTATTTCCCTCTCATCCTCCCTCCCTTTCTTTTTCTCTTCCGGCTCTCCTTTTTATTTCCCTCTCATCCTCCCTCCCTTTCTTTTTCTCTTCCGTCTCTCCTTTTTATTTCCCTCTCATCCTCCCTCCCTTTCTTTTTTTTTCTTCCGTCTCTCTTTTTATTTCCCTCTCATCCTCCCTCCCTCCTTTTTTTTCTCTTCCGTCTCTCCTTTTATTTCCTCTCATCCTCCCTCCCTTTTTTCTCTTCCGTCTCTCCTTTATTTTCCCTCTCATCCTCCCTCCTTTTTTTTTTCTTCCGGCTCTCCTTTTATTTCCTCTTATCCTCCCCTCCTTTCTTTTCTCTTCCGCTCTCCTTTTTCCTCCCTCATCCTCCTTTTTTTTTTCTCTTCCGTCTCTCTTTTTTATTCCCTCTCATCCTCCTCCCTTTTTTTTCTCTTCCGTCTCTCCTTTTTTATTTTCCTCTCATCCTCCCTCCCTTTTTTTTCTCTTCCGTCTCTTTTTTTATTTTCCTCTCATCCTCCCTCCTTTCTTTTTTCTCTTCCGTCTCTCCTTTTTATTTCCCTCTCATCCTCCCCCTCCCTTTTTTTTTCTCTTCCGTCTCCTTTTATTTCCCTCTCATCCTCCCTCCCTTTTTTTCTCTTCCGTCTCTTTTTAGTTCCTCTCATCCTCCCTCCCTTTCTTTTTTTTTTTTCGTCTCTTTTTTTTTCCTCTCATCCTCCTCCTTTCTTTTTTCTCTTCCGTCTCTCTTTTTATTTTCCTCTCATCCTCCCTCCCCCCTTTCTTTTTCTTTCCTCTCTCTCTTTTTTTTCCCTCTCATCTTCCCTCCCTTTTTTTTTTCTCTTCCGTCTCTTTTTTTATTTCCCTCATCCTCCCCCCCTCTTCCGGCTCTCCTTTTTTTTCCTCTCATCCTCCCTCCCTTTCTTTTTTTTCTCTTCCCTCTTTTTATCCTCCCTCATCCTCCCTCCTTTTTTTTCTCTTCCGGCTCTTTTTTTATTTTCCTCTCATCCTCCCTCCCTTTCTTTTTTTTCTCTTCCGTCTCTCTTTTTTATTCCCTCTCCTCCTCCTCCCTCCCTTTCTTTTTTTCTCTTCCGTCTCTTTTTTATTTTCTCATCCCTCCCTCCTTTTTTTTTTTTCTCTTCCGTCTCTTTTTTTTCTTCCCTCTCATCCTCCCTCCCTCCTTTCATTTTTCTTTTTTTTTATTTTTCTCATTGCGTCTCTTTTTATTTCCCCTCTCATCCTCCTCCCTTTTTTTCTCTCTTCCGGCTCTCCCTTTTTTTTCTCTTCCTCTCTCATCCTCCCTCCCTTTCTTTTTCTCTTCCGTCTCTCTTTTTTATTTTCCTCTCATCTTCCCTCCCTTTCTTTTTCTCTTCCGGCTCTCCTTTTTAGTTCCCTCTCATCCTCCCTCCCTTTCTTTTTCTCTTCCGTCTCTCTTTTTTATTTCCCTCTCATCCTCCCTCCCTTTCTTTTTCTCTTCCGTCTCTCTTTTTTATTTCCCTCTCATCCTCCTCCCTTTCTTTTTCTCTTCCGGCTCTCCTTTTTATTTTCCTCTCATCCTCCCTCCTTTCTTTTTTTTCTCTTCCGGCTCTCTTTTTTTTCCCTCATCCCTCCTCCCTTTCTTTTTCTCTTCCGGCTCTCATTTTTATTTCCCTCTCATCCTCCCTCCCTTTTTTTTTCTTCTTTTTTCTCTCTCTTTTTTTATTTCCCTCTCATCCTCCCTCCTTTCTTTTTTTCTCTTCGTCTCTCCTTTTATTTCCTCTCATCCTCCCTCCCTTTCCTTTTCTCTTCCGTCTCTCCTTTTTTATTTTCCTCTCATCCTCCCTCCCTTTCTTTTTCTCTTCCGGCTCTCTTTTTTATTTTCCTCTCATCCTCCCTCCCTTTCTTTTTCTCTTCCGTCTCTCTTTTTTAGTTCCCTCTCATCCTCCCTCCCTTTCTTTTTCTCTTCCGTCTCTCTTTTTTAGTTCCCTCTCATCCTCCCTCCCTTTCTTTTTCTCTTCCGTCTCTCTTTTTTATTTTCCTCTCATCCTCCCTCCCTTTCTTTTTCTCTTCCGGCTCTCCTTTTTATTTCCCTCTTATCCTCTCTCCCTTTCTTTTTCTCTTCCGTCTCTCTTTTTTATTTAACTTACATCATTCTTCCCATTCTTTTCTCGATGTTGCTCTTTTCCATTTCTCTCTTATCATTCCTTCCTCTTCTTTGTTCCTCTTTTTCATTTCTCTCACATCATTCCTGTCTTTCTTTTTTCGTTCCTTTATCTTTATCGTCTTCCTCACGTCATCCTTCCTTTCTTTTTTTCTTTATTATTAACTTTCTTTTTCTTCGTATATCTCTGATACATATACATACATACATACATACATATATATATATATATATATATATATATATATATATATATATATATTTCTGATATATGTACACACACACACACACATATATATATATATATATATATATATATATATATATATATGGAGAGAGAGAGAGAAAGTAATATGTTTAGCATAACACCTGGTTCAGACTCTTCCTGTTACTTGAACAATAGTATATTTTTATCCATTGATTCTTATATAGTATTACGTTTCCGGTTCCTTCTAAAGTTTTATTGTCTTACACTCCTACTATCCTGGGGTGAAATGCTTAAAAAATATTAAATGTTATCTTGTAAGGAAAGATTTGGGATTCATTGACTGAGCATCGAATGAAATTCTTAAAATCTTTCTCTTAAAACAATTTTTCAGCAAAATAAGTTACCCAAGCCCAGTAGCTTTTATTGCTCTTTCCAGTATTCATGGGAGTTTCCTTCCTAATCTTCTTGATTATGTCATTAATTTCATTTCCTGTAACAGGTGATATTCATTATAGCTGTTGCTGCTGCTGGAAGTACTGAAGTGATATGGTTCCTATTATTCCATACATTTCTTTGTTTGTGATTCTGTATTACCAGTTCACAAGTTTCGAATACACACACACACACACACACACACACATATATATATATATATATATATATATATATATATATATATATATATATATATATTACATGAATCATTCGTACAAAAAACAGATATAGAAGTTATTGATTTAAATGGCGAGAATACATCTTCGCAAACAAATTTAATAAAGTACATTAACCTCGAACCTGTATATGAATGTTATGATCCCTGTTTATAAATTCCAGTTGCATGAGGTCTTTTTTAATTTTTTACAAGCTTTCGTCTGTTCCTACAGACATCATCAGGTATGGAAATAGATTTGTTTTTGTTTTTTACTTCTCGGTAATAACAGGACAACGAAAATATAGATGTAATCCGAAAAAATGTTTTTAGAAATGTGTTATTGTTAATTGTAAGAAATTTTTTTGGAGCGTGCAGTCGCAACGCTGAGGTTGAATTTTTAAATTTTAAGATTGTGCGTTTTTGTACTAATATGGTAATAGAAAATTCTTTTGTACACGTAGTTTTTTTTCAGTCAATGTGGCATGAACTAAATTCTTCAATAAATACAAGAATGTGACAGTTATTATCCGAAAGTTGCACGTCGGATCAGTTGTTTTAATATCAAGTATGTGGTGCAGTTCAATTTACATTACATGAATCATTCATACAAAAACAGGGATCATAACATTCATATACAGGTTTGGGATTAATGTACTTTATTAAATTTGTTAGCAAAGATGTATTCTCGCCATTTAATTCATAACTTCTATATCTGTTTTTTGTATGAATGATTCATGTAATGGAAATTGAACTGCACCAAATACCTGATATATATATATATATATATATATATATATTGTCATCCACGGTTGAAGAGCAATGCTTTAATAGCGGTTCGAGCCACTGTTTTTAAAATTACCCTTTCCTCAAGAAAACTCAACTGGATTTTTCCGGGAGCATATATATATTGTCATCCACAGATAGACTGTTTCGCTGCATCACAGCTCTTCAGTGTGGCTAGACGTTCGATTGCTTCGAAACCCGACCGATTTGTTGGTATCAGTCAGAGATTCTACCTCTAGGCTATCGTCGCACGGCAGAGAGGAAGGGAAATTTTAACGTTTTTTATGCGAAATGTGTCAGTGGCCCGGAGAACTCAATTCAGTTCGGTTGAAGATGTAACAACATCAAGCTAATTAAGTAATTACGTAATTTTGTACATCCATTTCCTTAACCAGCCAGATTAATGTAATAGAGAAGTCTCTCCTTATCCGCGTTGGATATGTTCAAAATGCCTTATTGGATTCCAGCAAACGTGGATACTACCGAACAGTTTATATACTATGACTTATGTTTCCTACTAGATGTTAAATTTAGGGTATGTAATGTACCATCTATTATGGGACAAAGGTAGTATTTTTTTTTTTTTTTTTACTTATGTACACATAGTTATGATAGCGTTTGTTTTATAAATTAGTTACTATAGAAGATTAACAACAAAATGACAACAAAAAACACTTATAGCAAGAATCAGAAAAGACAGCTAAAATTTCTTGGACATATAATAAGGAAAGAAGGCATGGAAAATTTGCCCCTACCCCCAAGGGGGTGGATATTTAAAGGGCAGGAGAGATAGAAGAAGGCAGCATGCTACCTACATGGCGGGAATGGATAGCCGAACAGAGAGTGGGAGTCTTGACAAAACGAGAAACACAGCTAAAGGGTCACAAGGGACAGGAAGCTATGGAGAGTCATGATTGCCCATGTCTTAAAGGGATACGGCAAATAGAAGAAAATAATATTACAATTAAAATAACATACTGTAAATAAGTCATGATACACGATTCATTCTTACCGTAGATCTTAGCAACCTCAGCATACGATTTTTTTTTTAATTAATACGAGTATGGCGTATTTAAGAGACATCTAGAGATAAAATCTTCGTAGCAAAATCGATAAAGGCGCTGTCACGAAAAAGTAGACAGCAAAAGATAAATGATATGAGAAAAAACTTCTTCTTGATTCTTGATCCATTCTGAGAGTTGCCATAAAAAGCAACAAGAACTATGAGTATGGTAAGAATAATGGAGATTATATTACATTTAGATTTCTTAATAAATTAACGTACACGGACCACCAAAAATGACAGTAATTATTAGAAAGTTTTAATAGTGAGATGCAATGCAATAAAAGACTTGAAACAGTTTTATTGCGATTAAATAAAGCTAAGTGCCCCCTAAATAAGCAGACAAACAGCATAAAAAAAGGCCTCAAACTTGATAGAAAACAAAGTTTTATCGTCAAAATGATTGTTATTATTAAGAAGAGAGAACAAACCAATTTTTAATCATTTTTTTTTTACTCCTTTAAAATGGTTTTGCTTGCATTTTGCGGGTGTGCCAAAGATTAACATGGTAAATTTTAGCGTCTTCTTTGCGATAAAATACACATTATTTTGAAATTTCTGTAAAAATCAAATTGTCGAATTTTAATGAAATTTTCAGAACTTCACAAATGATTGAAATTATTTTGATTTTTTTTTATTTAAAGAATATTGGTGAAAATATTTTTTTACTTACTTAATTTTATAAAATTTCAAAAAATAAAAATTCCACCCTCGTCATAATTATATTAGTTAAAAGCAAAATTTCTTGGAATATTTAAATCATCAGTTTCTTTTTACCAAATACCATTTACCGAAAATCTGCTTTGAATCGTAAAATAAAAATGCAATAAATCTATGACATTATCTAATTAGAAAAGCTTTTAATTGCTGATATAAATAAGACATATTGAAGATACATTGTCATAAGAAATTTTTTTCTCGATGAAAGAACTGTTTACATTTTTTTAAATTTTAATTAGAATAATTTATAAAGTTTCAAATCTTTTAAATTTCTGTACTAATTTAACCGTTTTAGATGATATTAGTATCAATAAATAGTATATTTACTAATCATAAATGGAGAAGCTTAGTACAATTCATCAAATACTAATATTTTTAAAAGAATTTCGAATTTTTTATGTGTGTATAAACGTGCCGATTTTTCTACATACGGTGGCTCATACACGACATTATCAGAAAATAAGAGCGATGACGATAGTAAATTTAAAGCCCAAATTTTCAAAATTCTATAAAACATTAGATTATGCAGAATATTTTCCTAAAATTGTATGATTATTGAATACTTAAAAATAATATAAAAATTGCTCTAAGGTCATTTTCTTCAATTATGCTTTATAGATAAATCCCCTAGAATAACATTAGATCTGTCATCACGCTGTCAGTAAGTCAACACCTTAAATAAACAGCTAATGCCGGCTTAAAAATTGAATTTCTGCGATATTTTAAATTTAAAATAAACAATATTGGTTTTCAACCAAATTAATTATCCTTTAAATCACTTAATATTCCTTAAATAAAGTTTCAGAAAGTATATTTTATTTTTGGAAGATTTTTTAATTACGATGAAGGACGACTAAAAAAGGGCGCTAATCAGTCTTTAAAAAATCTTCTAGTCAATTTAAATTATTTTTTTAAATACGGCAAAGTATTTTGCTTATTAGGAATATTAAATTTAATTTATTTGCTTGGATTTAAAACTAAAAGAAAAGCTTCAAGAGTTTTCATTTTTAAAATTTCATTTTAAACCTTAGGTATCACATTTTCTGTGGTAAAATAAAGCATAGTTAATAAAGCGTAGTTAAAGAATTCACGACTAAAATAGAGTCCAATGTACTGTTTAATTAATCCATTCGCTTTATATTGTTTAGACTCTCAGTGGTATCTATGATTCATTGATTAATCCTCGTATTCTTATATAAACTGCTTTTTGCCCAATATTGAAGCAAGACGATCACTTAATAGACAAAGCTATCTAATTGCTACACATGAAAGGTTTGAACAAATAAAACTGTAATCTATGAAAAGTAGAAGTAAAGGAAAGTAAACATTAAACGGTTCATTTGGCTCTGGGACTATTTTTTTTCTAAAAGATAAATAGTTTATTTGTATATATTATTAAAATGACTACAGAAGTAAAAGCTCATAAATTTGTTAAAATACACATTGATAATTATTATATGGTTTGATACTTTATTACTTATTTTGTGTAGTTTGTCATTTTTTAGTTTCAATTAGTAACAGCTGTAGTAGTCATATATTGTTTCTAGGTTTCTTCTTTTCTTCTTCTTCTTCTTCTTCTTCTTCTTCTTCTTCTTCTTCTATGCACAGTGTCCCTTTGAAATATTGGTGGTTTACGTTCTCCACAATTTCATATTCTTTGTTGCTCTAAGTAATGTTTGCACCCTTACTAACCTACTCAAAACCTATTATGTCATCCATTTACGTTCGTCAGGTAGGTTACTCAAGTTTCCCTCTGCTCCTCTTGCCTTCTGTATGTCTTGTGAGTGACAAATTCTCCATGCCTTCTTTTCTTCCTCACGTGTTTCAAACATTTTAACTATCTTTCTATGTGAATTTTTAGGATGAGGAGTTATTATTAGTTACACTATTTCTATGAAAGCCATATGCCAGCAAGGCTTCAACTGCAACAGCAGCAATCAAAATATCAGCAGTACTCAAAATATAACAGACAGCCGCAACTTAATCAGCAAGTAGGTTAGCTTTAAAGCTCCAAGTTCACTACAGGAAATTGGGACAATAGCCTAGTAGATTAAAGCTTTGGTTTGTGAATTTGTTGACTTAATGATTGTGAGTTCAATCCCTAGGTTGAGCGTTGTGTACTTGCACTTGGAAACGGGCCAAAAATAACTGAACAGTACTAAATAAAAATAAGAACTAGACGCTACCCCTAGACATGAACAGTGGAACAAGAATGAAGAGTAAAGAATTCAGCTCAGAATTCCTTGTAGGTTACGCAGATCGATATACAAATGAGGAAGATCAGATAACACCAATAAAGATGAGGACAATTGTCCGATTTTAGTGTAAATTATTTCAACTATCTATTTCTTATCTTAAGACTAAGTAACTTTAGTTTCGATTTTTAAAAACTTCCGCGTTACTCACATGCTTCGTCTATGATTTTCACAGCATTCTTCTGTACAAGCCCACTGGCACCTTGAGTCTCATCTTCATCTGTTAGGATATGGTACAGTATTCATCGTCATATAGAAAGATTGATATTACAATGTAGTTCAGCACTCTTTTTTTCTAAACAAAATTTTCCTATTTCTTATCACATTGTTTAACGCTTGGAAGGCATTTTTCGCCATTAATTGCGCCTAAAGACTTCTGTGTTACAGTTTCATTATTACACTATTTTATCATTAGCCTTCATAATTTCCATCTGTTAGCTCTTTTTTTTTATTCGACAACATTTTTCACCGATCAATTATACAGTGCCAGGTCAAACCGATAGACGGTGTTCTCTTTGAAAAGGACCCGTACCTTGAACGACAGTTAGGACTTGTTCAATGTGAACCTCAAGTGGAAGACGTACATACGATTCATCACTAAAGAGGTTGGGAAAATGATCGGTTTCCTGTACCAGCAATTACCTGACTCCTTCTACTATCCTTTGCCTTTACAAGATCTATATCAGATGGAAAATGGAGTACTACTGCCATATATGGACAAAAGCAGCTGGTTTTCCTTTCCCAGTCTCAACAGAGTTCAAAAGCGTTTTGTATTCTTGTGAGTGATGAATTATTTAAAACCCTAAAACCTCTTCCACGCAGAAGAAAAGTTACAAGCCTCTGGCTGCTCTATCGCTATTTCCATGGAAAGTGCACAGACGAACTACATTCCTTAGTTTCAACAGTTCTAACCCTAACGTCTAAGACCCGCTATGACATGCACATTGTAGCGAACGACCATCCTTCCTTTCGTATTCTATTGACGAGATGAAACGTAACTTTGTGGAACCGACTTCCAAGAGGCTACTTCTCCAATCACTACAATCTTAACCTCCTAATCACTATATATATATTTGACTTGGTGAATTAAGTTCGTCTACAATGAATATCCCGTTCAGTACAGATTTGTTTGTCATCTGTCTTAACCAGTAGGGAATGCCCCTAACCGTTATCCGTTACAAAACATGTATATATATGGTGGTATGGTGGTTATCAGCTATGGATATGCCCTACTGGTTATGACAGCTGAAAAGCAAATCTGTGGTAATGAACGGGATATTTATTGTAGCCCATCTTTATTCAACAAAATATATAGATATATTGTGGTTAAAGATTAACTAGTTCAAGTCTAGGATAAACTGTTGTCTTCCCCACATATCTTATATATAAATTATGATTATTAAATGTATTCTCTGGCAGGTAGCTCTTGGACTTTGTACAGGCTGAAAATTACTGTAAAATCTTTAGAAACAGATTTTTTATATTACTGTGATGCAATAATAAGCAAGTGAAATAATGAAAGATATAAAATCAAAAACTAATAAAAAAATATTAAAATAACAACTCTTCTCTTATTATTCTTCGACAAACTAGTAGAAATGACAAAACATTTTTAGAACACTGTTGTCTGTATGGGTCGTTCATTAAAACTGATTAGTAAACTCTTTTTATTTTGTTTTTATAGATCATGTCAAAATTAGTTGTTTTTTTATTATCTTCACAACCTTCTCGTTTGTTTTGCGCATACGTTAAAATGGACTACCAACAAAAATCAGGTTGGTCAGCAGAATTTGACAACTTACGCGTCAAGGGACTTTGATCGATTTGTCTCTGGAAATACGTCTTTCCAGATTAGCGAAAGAATTCGTCAATGAGGCTAAACTCGGGTTTTGCAAAGAACAAAAAAAAAATAATTAAAAAGTGATGGAAGAAAAAGGACCAAATAAAAGTTTGCAAAGACACAAAAGGAAAAACTCGACAAAAAAAAAAAAAGAAGCAATAACCTAACAAGAATAAAAAGAAATTTTAAAACTGCGTTGAGCGATGCTCGCAGTAAAGAGAGAAAAAAATCGTCATTCTTGTTTTTTTATTTATTTATTTATTCTTGTGTGGTGGGTGAGTGGGTTCTTTCACGGTTCTCTCCTCCAGTTGGCAGCCCGCTTAACCAGGTCGGACAGGTAACTCCAAAAAGAAAGATAAAGAAAAAAAGATCAACGAAAGGGATGAAGTGTTCTTTACGCGCCAAATGTTCCGCGAGTCCTTTTGGCGTCGTGCCGGATGAGGCAATGTGACCAACGTGACGACGGTGACCATTCGTAGTATTCGCCTCTTCCTTTCGATAGCGCTGTCAAAGAAACGGCGATGCCACTGTTAACAACTCATGCAAGATTCTTCGACCTATTCACTTAGGACTACTGGAATGTCGGTTACCGCAAAGACACGAAGTTAAGTAACACTAGGCCAGTAAGTACTGAGAAATCTTTCGGGGAAAGAATACGAGAAAGAAAATTATTATGAAACAAAACAAAACAAGCTTAAAACTTCACACTGATTTACACATCGGTAATCCATGATGACCGGCAAAGCCACGCCACACTGACAGATGAAATTTGTTAAAAGCAGGATTTTGATGGCGTCTCTACTTCAGTGCTTGACGAAGCTGACCACGGTGCTTCAGTCTACTGTCTCCAAAACCATTTAACTTAATGAAACATGTCTTACGTCACTCATTTTGGTTTGATGCTTGGGCTTCCCAGGTTTTCAGATCAAAGTTGAAACGTTTCAAGTATTTCAATTTATCTTTATAGCGTCATGGTGGACGTCCATCTGAACGCTTGAAGTTTGGTAGTTGTCCATACATCAACTTTTTGGAAGCCTCTGCTCATCCATTCTCACAACAAAACCAGCCCACCTAAGTTGTATCTTTGCTAGAATTGTTTCAATGCCTGTGACGTGTTACATTTCATCAGTACTGAACTATTCTTGACCCTGTCATCCCATTTTATATCACATATGGCACGCACGAAGATAACGCATGTGAAAAGGCGTCAAGTTGATTTATGTGCTTGCAGTACAGGATCTAAGTTTCAGCACCATTGAGAAGGGTTGAGAGAACGGCTGTTCTGTATATGTCGATATTTACTCTGAGAGACACATCTTTGGTCTTCCATAACCCAGGTTTAAGTTTACCGAATGCTGTTGCTGGCTTTGGTTATTCTGGATTGGATTTTCTCTCCATTTTTTTCATCAGAAGAGATTGTTGACCAAGATATGTGAACGTCTCAACAGTTTTAATGACGTACTATCAATGAATACGGAAGGATTTGTAAGAGATGGATTGACTGATACATTAGCTCAGTCTTATTTATGTTGATAGTGAGTTAAAATGCTTTCGCTGTTTCAGAGAATTTGTCAAGGATAGTTTGAATGATAAAATTATATATATATATATATATATATATATATATATATATAAAAAAAAAGTTTTTTTGTAGTTGAATTAGATCAGGCAGGAAACAGTAGTATTAAAATTGCTCGATACACGTATAACAAATTGACATGTAAACCGGAAAATTTAAAAATGTCAAACCTTATACTAATCATAGTAATATCTGCAACCTTTGTCAACAAGAAAAGTTGGCTATAATAACGTTTCCAGACCAAAAGAGTATTTTGAATGAGAGATCGGAAATTATGACCCGTTACATACATACTGAGAAGTACCTTTTAATTCATATGAGCCGAGATTAAAAGAAAGTATGTATATTTCATTTACCCCCACCACCATCAATACATTTCAGTACGTTTGCTTTTCTCCTCCTGCCTTCTACCACACCTATGCTTTGTGGTGTTTATTTCTTTTTAAATAATATAGCGTTCATTATTTTTTTAAACAAAGCATATATATATATATGTATGTATGTATGTATGTATGTATGTATGTGCGTGTATTTGTGTGTGTGTGAAGAGAGAGAGTTACATGATAATGTATATTAGCTTACTGACAACTTCAGCAGCTAAACAAAAAATATATTATTTTATTAATCTCTCTGTTACTGCATTATACAACTAAAGAGAGTTCACTCTGATGAAAGTTACCATTTTAAGTTATAAAAATTACGACAGTTTGTCGCTCAGAAAAAAAATGTGTTTGCGTAATTGCCATTGCTTAGGCAAAATAAAAAAAAAAAATCGTTTGCTTTCACACTCTTCTCTTTGGCTCCGGAATATTTTTTTCTCGTTAGAAGCTTATATACATTTCTACATGTCTGCGCATGATCTATAGAAATACTAGACTTGTCTTTGGGTCTGCTATTTGCATTTGTGTACTTGTTTTTCTGTTCAAAGACAAAATATTATTGCGTGTCATTTGCATATATAAAGAAATATGAAAAATATTAATACTTTAACGTATCTTTCTGTACTTTTGAGTTATTATTTAAATACTTCTTCCAAATATTGAGTTCATCCTTTTGTTCGTGTTGTTATTCGTAAAATGTTTTGGTTGATCAAAATTTGCTTTTTGTCCCTGTACTATTCAAGATTTAGCCAAACAGAAGAAAAAAAATCATGGCAAATATATTGACAAATATTCAAAACAATTCGGTTAACGTAAGCGATTGTCTATGTTATATACGTGTTTGCTCTTTTGTCCTTTTGTTTTTGCTAAGCAAAGAAATCCACAAAGCGTGACACATTTTTCCGGAGGCTAGTGTACGCGGCTTTTTTTTATTTTCATTTTGTTTTTTAACCTTCCTCGCAATGGTTCCTATCTATTACTTGGATCTTATCTCAGAGAGATTAGTTAGATCTGTCCTTTTCCGATATGGTCTGCTATAGTACAGTATTTTCCTTCATCTTTAGATATAACATTAATCTTTAATTTGACTTTTAGCAATAAGCTAGTTTCTTCCTCAGTTTTATCACATTTGTGTATGAGTTTATATATATATATATATATATATATATATATATATATATATATATATATGTGTGTGTGTGTGTGTGTGTGTATAATTTGTGTATTTAGGTAGCAATCCTTCTTTCATGCACATTTCACTCAATACGACAGACAAGGTGCTTTGATTTAGTTTTTATACAATTTCATGTGATCTAATAATTTTTTCTTTTCAGATGATAAATTATTTAAGAACTCTCCGTATGTTCCTTTTATCCGAGCGCTTTCGGATATACATTTAGCCATTTTCAAAGTTGAAATATCTAAACTGTTAAATATGAAATAATTTGTTGTATGTATGTATTTATATAATGTTTTCATTTTTGAAAACACGCTCAAGATATTGTGTCCATGTTCATAGTTTATATTATTGAGTGTTGTCTTTTTATTAATAAGGCTTCCATTATTTTTAGCCTTTTTTGCATGTAGATGATATTATATTTGTGTTGTCAACCAAGTATATATATATATATATATATATATATATATATATATATATATATATATATATAGAGAGAGAGAGAGAGAGAGAGAGAGAGAGTTAAGCGCTCCCTCCCCAGAATGCCACCTCAGTGTTGTCTCATGGGGTCATCGAATGTTTCCAGCTTTCTGAACAACAACCGATTTCCTCTCCCATTGGAATTTGACCTTGAACTAATCTTATCCTGACTAACATTCTGAGTACTTTATGTCACTGTTATTCAAAGCGGTGGTCCGCGGACCGATGCCAGTACAAGAACCATCAAAGGCGGTACGCGGCCAGTGTCTAGGCCATACTAAGGAATCCTTTGAAGAATTGGTAGATGCTAGCCAAACGGTAGAACGCCAGAGCCGTCAGAATTTGTACTTTCGTACCAAACTTAGTACTTTTTGCTTTCAAATGAAGGTTTTGGTACGATCGGTACAACTTTTACTGAAACTTAAAATATTTGGTACTATCTGAACTAAATTATTTAATTTAGTATTTTTCGAAATAGATTTAGCTGCAATATAATTATAATAATATGGATTTAGGTGAATATATATCATTTCCTGTATAAATTAATATTACCATGAAATATAACAGGCACGTGACACATTGAGAAGAAATGCCGGTCCGCCATATCAGATAGTTTGAGAAACGCTGCTTTATGTATCGAGTTCTACATATGACATACATGAATGGGTTTTATGGGGTAGTAGCTGGATTTTCTACCAATCAGCAAATTAAGATGTTTTCCTGTTTATGTTTATTTTAACCAATGAGGAGCTCAGGTTTAATTTGTCTCTCATAATTGCTCTGATATTAACCTTTGGATTTTTTTTTTTTTTTTTCCTTACTCTTTTTTATTTTCTTTCTTCTTCTTCTCCCATTGATCTTAAAATAAATAAATTGATCTGAAGATATAACAAATTGCATAAAAAAGACAATTGGAAAAATATTTCGGATTGAAGAAACGCGTCGGCAAGTTCTAAGAAATATTTTCTTGTCTTTTATCAATATATATATATATATATATATATATATATATCTGCAATTTTGTTTATTGATTTATTTTGTGAAGAAAGAATATTAGAAAGGTTGCAAAAAGAGTGTTGTCCTATTTTCTACAAACAAATTCAACCCTTTGTCCTACACAAAGGAACTTACTGTTGCTATATAGTCGGTGTCTCTTATTCCTAGTTTCAGATGTTATATAGGACGGATAATTTTCTTTTGAAGTCCATAGTCACTGTGTGACTGCATGCTAAACTAAGTTAATTTCAATAAAGAGTCGCATCCTTCACTGAATTGTCATTCGAGTCTAAATAAAATTCGGAATTTGTTCAGTACTGAACGAAGCTTAGTAAATATCAACAAATTATATGTTTATGTAACTAGTGATATCAAGATATTTTTAAAGCCGTGGCCTTTCACTTTTTTAGGCGATTATAGCTCTCATTAAATAAAATTTATTTTTCATTTAATTTGAATTCAGATTTTCCTTCTCGTAGACTAGTCGCCAGTAAAAGTTAGAGGCCCCTTCATCCTGTTATTTAACTCATAGCCAGGCGGCGTGGAAGAGAAAAATTGGTTCATACCTTTCCCCAATGGTAACGGTGTGAAAGTGAAGATCAAGATAAATTTTTGAACTCGATAACCATTGCTACTTTCCATTTGGTAAATTTTCATTTTATTATGTTTTAAGATATTTTGTTTTGTTTCTTTGGTCTTTTTTTTTCTTTACTTTGCACTGTAAAAATATTAACGCTATTTTAATGAATGACGATTAACAGCCATTCTTTTAAAACAGAACTTATATGAGGAAGTGTTCGTTTACCAGACACCATGAAGAAGTTGCTTTCTTTTACTGACTTTTCTTTTTAGAGACATTTTTTTGTAAGATTCTTCTTTCCTGTTTCTTTTTGTTTTAGGGAGGTATGTAACACATTTGTACACTCCATTAGCATGTTCTTCATAATAAATGGCTCTTTTCTTTTCTCTCCTAGACCTTGTTTTCTGCCTTCCATTTACACAAGATCCTTCTTCTTCTTCTTCTTCTTCTTCTTCTTCTTCTTCTTCTTTCTCTTCTTCTTCTTCTTTGTGCCGTGTCCCTTCAGGATGTATTTGCTCTGTAGCTCTCAATTTCTCCTCCTTTGTAGCTCTTAATAAGTTTGTCTGTCAGCTATCTCTCCTAAACCCTGTTCTGTCATCTATTGTTCTGAACTCCTTAGGTAGGTTATGTTCTGTTTTCTTCTGAACCTTTTAACCTTCAATCTGTCTTGAAAGTGTCAAATTTTCCAAATTAGATTTTCCTCATTATGTTCCCTTGAAATCAATTGTTTTTCTTTCTGATGTTAACTATATATGACTTTTTTTCCATTTTAATCTTTTTTCGCCATTGCTTCCATGTCTAGTTCCTGGTATTCTCAGCATCTTTCTGTAGAACCAAATTTATCTAGACTCAAGTCCCTTCTTCATCTGTGAGGAGATTGTCCAGCATTACTGTCATTTATGAGGACTGATATTTTTTATAGCTTTTTACACTGTTTTTTTTTTCTTATGAAATTTTCCTGTTCAATGTCATTTGTAGCTTTTCAAAAGTCATATTATGTTATCAAATGCGTCTTCTGATTTCGATATCACATTCCGTCCTTTGTTAAAACATTTGCCAGGTATTCAAATTGTTGTAATTGTCTGATTTACTATTTCGTTTTATATAATTTGCGTCTGTCCCATTTTTTAACACATGCATTGAGTTTTCTTGCAAATCGTGTTCATTTTTCTCCTCTTACTTCATTACCTTCTAGACGAGCTCTGGTTTGTTTTTTTTTGTTTACGGCATATCGATCTTAATGGGTTATTTAATATCGACAACTTTTTTTATTGCTGGTAATATTTTTCCAAAAATTATTGCCGGTAAAAAATTTTTCAAAAAATGTTTTTGCTGTTATTTTTGCTATAAAAACCTATTTTAGACTTTCATACTGTTTTTGACCCCCAGATTGGGGTTAAACTATGCCCACAGCTGAGACCATAACAGCTGCTACTACTCCCCTAGGTCTTTTGGACTTGAGAATTACAGAGATGGTGCCAATCCTCAAAATAGCCTGGTCAATGTATTTTGTCAGTTTATCGTCATACCCACTTTTATACAAGTTCTTGAAGTTTACTTGATGAGGTCTACTATCAAAAAGTGCATAACATTTATTTGTTAGTTTGTTGGCGCCAATAATGAATCGGTTGGTAGGATTTCTAGTTCTCTCAAATTGAATTTTATAAAGCTTGAATAAGTGGGTGATAAGACACATCCTTGTCTTTATACAGATTTCTATTTTTCTATATTTACTGAATTCATTTCTACAAGTCTACAATGAAAATGTATTATTTGTTTATATTTTGCATCTCCAATTTGTAATTTGCATGTTGAACTGACCCTTTAAATAATAACCATGCATTGATATAGGATGTAGGACAAGGTTGTATCCTCTTACCAGACCAGCAATGAGTCGATTCTAAGAGAATTAGAATGCCTTCCAGGATTTATTATTAGTGGCCTTGACATTTACAACATAAGATATGAACATTAGTCCTTTCTTCTCTCTTTTCATTACTACATTCTATAGTAGTTCTTGTAGTTCCATTTCTGTCTTTGCTGCCAATAATGAATTGTTTTTTTTTATCTTTTTTTTTTCTCCTTTCTAAAATATTCTCTTCTCATTGTCTTTCAATCTCGGTAACCTTTGCATCCTAGTGGCATTGGCTTTGCTTCGGGTAAATGATTTGAAAAAAAAAAGATTATGTATGTGATGACTGTTTAATATATGCAAAAAAGAGACCAAAGGTGGGGTCAGGCGGCACTTCATGGGTTGGCATTTGCATGCAAAAACTTTTTAAAACTTCATGGGGGCAGTTTTGTATGTAAAAAAAAAAAAAAAAAATTAAAAAACATTAAAGACGCGATCATTCATTTTTATGTGATGGTGTTTCAAAAAAAAGAAATCTAATATTTTGTTTTTAAATTCGTTTTTTTCCCCATTCATTCTTTTTGTTTGGGAATCCTGAAACACATGACATGTCGTCCTGCTGGCGAAATCAGCTTTTAATAGCCCTCGGCTAAACTGTCTGAGATGCCGGTACTTTTTGATCTGGACCTGCTGAGATCAAGACACACACCAGGATTCCAAAAGACATATATATACATGTATTTACAACATATATATATATATATATATATATATATATATATATATATATATATATATATATATATAATATTAATGGTAAATATACACATACACATACATATGCAAAATATATATATACATAGATACATACACATACATGTATATTTTTTAATAAAAAAATTCCAAGAGGCTAGAATCCAGGTAGAACTCAATGCCCAGGACAAAGTAAGGATATAATAAAAACGCTTAAACACGAATATTCCATGGTCATAATTTATTCCATTGGAATCGTAAATACGATCCAATTCATCAGACCTACAAAAAAAAAGAAAACATATATTCCTATGTTCAAAAACACATGCGTATACACACATACAATAAATATACACATACATACATACATAGGTCCTTGCTAGATTAGATAACCGTTATATTTATTTTTATATGTTTATATTTGATTTATAATATATCGATATTAAATTTGTCAAATTTTCTTAATTACACAGCGGACCTTTTAATAAATGCCCTTCAGTTTTAGTTCCCCTCCCCATGTCTCTCCCCACCCCCTTTTTTTTTTCCTCTCCCTCCCTCTTCTGATCTTTTAAGATTAGATCGTTATTGTGTATGTATGTCACCACAAAATGTATCCTTTCAGTTACATCTTTAATGTATTAGACATCCGACAACATTCATATTTCTCTCATACTTAAACCGTCTTCAACTCACCTCTAAAACTTCTCTCTGTTAAATTTTAATCCCCACCTTCTCTCGTCTGTTACCCTCTCTTTTGTCTCTAACATTCGTCCCATTAATTCTCATACTTACACTCTCTCTAAATTTTATTTTTTATTTCCGGAGTTGTTTTTTTCTGTTTCGTTTTGAATTTTAGGTCTGATGAATTGGATCGTATTTACGATTCCAATGGAATAAATTATGACCATGGAATATTAGTGTTTACATTTTTATTATATATATATATATATATATATATATATATATATATATATATATATATATTTGCTGCCCCACCCGATGTCTTTGTATTGGTGATAATCGACCTAAATTATTTTTAATAAAAATAAAATGTCCGAAGATGTTTTTTTTCAATGATTTCAAAATCAATTGTGAAAATGTTAAAATATTATTAAAATTTGTGGTATTTTATTCATTAATAAAATAATTATATTAATTAATCTTCTTTGATTTTAAAAAAAAATACCTTGAGAAAATATTTTTTTATAATTTAACTGGAAGATTCCAAAGTTTGGCCATTTGAATAAAAAAATTCCAATCGCTAATTTTTACATTTCTAGAAAGATCAAAAACGAGAAGACCACATATAAAAAAATAAATAAATAAATTTACGATGTCAACACCCTGAAAAAGTTATTTGAAAATTTTAATTTTGTTTTTTAAAAATCTGAAAAAAGAATTTTATACCGTGTTTGTTTCTAGTAGATTTTTAAAAACAATGTTTTTATTTTCTTTGGGGTTGATCCAAAAACAAATTTCCTCTGATGCAATTTACCTACATTTTATTCACAGTGAATTTTGCAAGCCTTCGAACCCTTCTGATTAATATGAAATATTTGTAATTAAATAAAGATTTATTTAATCTGTCTAAAATTGTATGATTAAAACTTCCCAATGTAGGACAGCATATTTTCCGAGATTTTAATATATTTAAAAAAAATTACGAATAATTTTTCATTCAGATTAAATTTGCCTGAAGAAATAAAGATAAGCCTTCATGTTTGAAGTCTTACGATTTTTAAGATTTTAATTATGGAGAAATGAAATTGATCTTCTTTTTATTAAGTTGCGCTCCTTCCCAAACCAGAGATCTTTGGGGCGGGAAATTAAAATTAAAATTAAAAATAAAATATCGCATTTTTTCAAATGTTTTTGTTAGTTTTAATTGTTCTATATTTTTCTCTTATTGTCCATGAAATTTGAAAATATTTGCATTATTATTAATATTTTTAATTAATAATTTGATTAATTGAAATTTCCGATATTTTTTGTACATATCACGGAATACTGATTAGATTAAAGAGCAAAATCATTGAATCAAAATCAGGATTATAGTTGAATAGCAGTATGGCCCGGCGTTGCCCGTGCGAGATTCAAAAATCGTACGACTCATCGCTATCACTTGACTTAAAATAGTTTTGCCCTTCCTTGCCTTTAAAGGAGTGCCCTTTGCTGTGCTGATGTTGCTGCATGCCTTAGTTCATGCCTATCCCACGCTGCGAATTTTTTCTAAGCTCTATACTAAATATTAAATCTGTTACGAAAAAAGAACTAAAACAAAATGAACACAAAACGATCAGCTTTAAAAAAAGGATTCGTAACTGGAAAAACCGAATGAAAAAAGAATGTTAACAACAAATACTTTTTCACACCCAACCCAGTTCTTGCGGAATCAGAATCAACGTTGAGTTTAAGCAACGAATGAGCCAATTGGAGTAAAGTGCCATGCAGATTTAAATTTTTCCCACTTGTGACGAATGCAGCTATCGATTTTTTTTTGCATGCTAGCATTCTAGTTAAATATTCGTGTCAGTCATTGTTGGCTCATGCTGGCCAATTCCTTTCTCGCTCATTCGTGACAGCCAACTATTGGCCTCACTCTGGCCAGTACAAACACGTAAACTACATGAAAATGGTCGTAGAAGCATGAAAAAAATCGATTATTTCCACTATCGATGGGAGTTGGGAAAACAAAGTCGGTCTTGGCCTTCCTGTAAACTTCCTGATGCAAATGTATGTAAAGTTTGGCAAATGCATCGAAAATTGCGACACACACACACACATACACACACACACACATCCTACCTTTTTATATATATATATCTGTGTGTGTGTGTGTGTATGTTTCTTATTTCAATAATTTATCATCCATTGACTGATTTGAAACCTG